AGTTTTTATCAATGCATATCCTCAACACATATCTTTTATTTATTTTTTAAAAAAGTTTTCCTCCATGTTTAAGAAGAAAATGTATGTCAGAATATTAAGTTAATTGTTTTGTTCTAGGTTCATTTGACTAAAAAAGTACTAATTTATTCTACTCAAAATCATGTATGACAGAATATTCCATCGAATATTTTAAAGAATAAAATATTTTAAAAGAATGATGGACTTTTGTATTTCATCAGGTTATATATATTCACCAAATTATTAAATCCCTAGTGATTGTATTATGTAATGAACTTACTAAATTATTGTTCTGTAGACTCCAAAGAATGGTTTATGGTGGTTTGATTAACAAATGAAAAGAAAATGTTTTGCACATATTGGACAAAAAAGACCATCTTAGAACCAAGACGCAACATTTTAAACACTAAATAATACACAAAGTGCTTTTTTTGTTTTCATTTGATTGGATACGGAGTCTCATTCGGAATTTTCGTGGTGGAGAACATTGTAATCAAAATGTAAAATATTTTGTTATACATATATGTCTATACTTACATTGATTACTATCCATCTACACATGTATCTTTTCACAGATTGAGTTAGCCTGTACTCAAACAATTCCTTTAGACTTTTTGCTAAGGCTTACGCTAAGCCTTAATTACTAATTTACTCCTGTGAAATGTGAACCCCAAATATTCACACATTTGTAGTATTATTGTAAGATGGTAAAATGGCCATTAGGTGAAAACTATTTATCGATTTACAGTGATATAAACTTATTTCTTTAATAATTTTAACATACACATTCCTATTGAGAAAACTATTCCATTTTATTCAGATTAGCTTTCTTTTCCTTACTTAACTCTAGACTTTATTGTACAAGTAAAATTACTTGATTAAGTATGCTTGTTTTAGTGACTTATATAGTGCACATTATATTAACTATTTAAACATATATGTAAGTTCAATTTTTAGGAAGACCTATCCCCTACACTATTGTTACTTTTCAACCTCTACTTTCTAGTTTTCGGTCCTTTTGGATCTTATGTATCCAGGTTTTACGTTATTAGTCACCAAAGCATTGATTTTAGGAAACAGAATCTCATTATCGCAAACCATGATTATATCTACAGGTGTATTAATAATGCTTCATGCATTTGGGGCTTACACTATTTACTATTTCCATGATATACATCTACCTGGTGGCTCAGCGGTAAGTCTGAGGGCATATAGCGCTAAACATCGGGTTTCGATACCCACTGTGGACAGTACATAGATAACCCATTGTGTAGCTTTGTGTTTGCCCCCCAGTAGCACAGCGATATGTCTGCGGACTTACAACGTTAGAATCCGGGTTTCGATACCCGTGGTGGGCACAGCACAGATAGCCCATTGTGTAGCTTTGTGCTTAAATACAAACAAACAAGCTTTGTGTTTAACAACAAACCACGATGTAGAGTAAGATATACTCCTTAGCGTCATCTAGTGTATCTACTGGAAACTAGTAATTTTCTGTAGTTTTTTTATGTAAAGAAACTAAACTTTTAGTGGCAAAAAACAACAACAAACAAGCATACCAATGTCGACATTCTCACAAGGTAAACATCTTTAGAAGTAATTCCACCATCACAAATATTAATATACTGAATAATATGGTTTTCAAAAAGACAAGACGTAAATAAACTAGATTGTAAAAATAATTTTTTCTCTATCATATGCGAATCATATACAATCAGGGAAGAGCCTTAGTGGTTTTAAAGTTAAGTATTGTCTGATTATTACGTCAATGCCACACTTGTAATATTTGTTTTCAGTTTAACTTCATTTCATTAAAAAAAAAAAAAAGAAAGACGAGTGACTAGTTTAATAATATTGTGCAATCAGATACTACCAGAAGAAAACTTTTATTGTGGCCAAGTCATGCGCTATCATGCGTGGCCTAGTGGTTACCGAACAGGACTGTGGATCTGAGTGTACATGGTTCACGTCCGTTGCAGAAAAATCGCACTTTCGGCTGTGGGTGTACTATAAGAGTGACAATCAAATCCCACTATTCGATTAGAGTACCATAAGAGCTATTAGTGGATAGTGTTTGCCCTTCCCTCTACTCTATCAGTTAAAAAATATGAACGGTTAGTGTAGATAGCCCTCGTGTAGCTGTGCGAGAATATCTTAAAAAAAAAAACAGAAACAAAGAAAATTGACATTCCTTAAGAAATATTTCACCGTGTCACTTGGATAAAATATTATTACATAAAGTGTCGTTTCATGAAACAGAACAGTCACGTGTTTCACTTGGAGCTTATGAGTGAAGACTTTTAGTTTTAGTAATTGAAAAGTATATAATCTTAAGTTTTAACCCATAGTGAACATTCAGGTTTCCGGTGCATGAGCCGTTTAATGCAAAAAAAAATGTTTTTTTTTTGTTTAATTTAATTTAAGGCAATTAGGCAATAGTTATAAGGAACTGGCTAAAGATGCTTTCCTGCTTAGAAGCATGGATCGGATTCCACTGATTTCTGAATGTTACTACCCCTTTTTAATGAAAAAAATTGAATAGACAATTGTTTAATATATATGTTTGTCAAAAGTATGGTTATCATAATATAAAAAACAAACATAAGTTTACTTTCAAATAATAATAGAGGATAAACTCGTGCTTCGCTTACGATGTATGTACGAAAATTTATTAACTACTGAAACATTGTTTTGCAAAGAAAATAAAAAATGGATATAGATGGGAATGAATCCTCGACCACTCGCATACAAAACGTGTGCTGTGCCATATGAGCCAAAGCCCAAAGAAACGTTTCATATATGCAGCATTATTAAGTATAATACTATATATATATATATATATATGAGAAAAGTATATGTTTTAAACAGAAAACTCCCTTAAATAATGCTGTTGTTATTGTATTATGCAATCAGACATGAACGAGACAAAATAATAGTAAGCAGAATATGGAGTTCTTGTATTTAGATTTAAAGTAAAGAAGTGGAATGACTATAAACGAAATATATCTTTATAGAAACATTTTTTTTTGTAGAAACACCTTGTATTTCTTGATAATCACCATCTTTGACTAATATGTTGAGATTCGTTTTCTTGATCGAACTGTTGATAAACAAACGTTATACAATAATGATTTTTAGAAATTATTATATCAAGAAGTGTTAAAATCAATTGTCTTCGTTTTTCGTTACTTCACTTATATTTCCCTTTTCTTTTTTTACTCTCCCCTAAAGTATTAGCAGAGCGTCGGGTCCACTACAACCAAAAACTTTAGGCCTAATTGTCGATTTTTAGGCTCTGTAATGAAGTAGTTGAAATCATATGATACTTGTAAAATAGTGAATGTTTCACATTATGCTATCAAGAAGTGTAAAAATCACGTGTTTTCGTTTGTCGTTATTTCAGATGTTTTTCTTTTTTCTTCCATAATGATATCAACTCTTTTTTTTATTTCCCCTAAAGCAGTGTTTGCCAAACTATGGGGCGCGCCCCATCTTAGGGGCGCGTATTGGTGGCTGAAGGGGAGAGCTTTTGGCGGGAGAACCCAAAAATAATAACGGGAGGAACAGAAGAGTTGGAGACGACGATACCCTAATAAAACTATCACCTTGCTCTCAATGCTTTTTTTTTCTCTTCTCGCATTTACTCACTCCTTACAAGTACCTTTTCATTAAAAAAATATAAAAATAGTCAAGAAATATATTAATTTTGCTGTTATCACTTGCGAAAATTATTTTTAATGTAAAAGGGGGCGCAATGGAAACTTTGCTGAATTAGGGGGGTGCCGCTATTTAAAGTTTGGAAAATACTGCCCTAAAGTAATAGTAAAGCGTCAGGTCCACTACTGCTTTTAACGAAAATGGTGTAATATTTTATTTCCGTTTCGGATAAACTCGTGCTTCACGTACGAAGCGTATTTAAACGTTAAGCCTAATTGTTGATTTTTAGACACTTGTATTAATATAGGTAAAAACGAATAATACTTATAAAATATCGAACTTTTAAAATTACTGTATCAAGGAGTATAAAAATCAATTGTCGTCATGTGTTCTTTGTAATTCTTTTTTTGTGGATATGTGTATAAATAGCATTTGAATATCATCCGAAAACTGCAATTATTTTCTGTCGCGTAATTTGTTAGCTGTAGAGCATCAAAAATAAATGAAGTTGTGACAGTTACTATTAAGGCTAAGTGCAGTAGATTATATGGCAGGGACACTCGTGTTTTGTGTACGAAGCATATTTAAACTTACGGTTTAACTGTCAATTTTTAGGCGCCTGTTGGAATATGTATTGAGATGTAATGGTAATGTGTTATTGATAAGCGACGGAATGGTAAAACAAAAAATAGCTTAGCACGTTTCCTTGCATGTTTGTTTATGTTACTGTCCTTAAATTTAATGTTATAAACGTCGTATTTTTGTATTCGTATAAATGTAAAAGTACCGCTGTACAATTATTCAATAGAAATATTGGGTTTTCCATGTGAGCAAACACACATACACGCACAGATTGACTGACACACATTGTTCTTTTAGATATATAACTAGGTGCAAATGAAAATAAAAATAAATTAGCTTTTCAAGATTCTGTAAGAACGAGTAGATAGATATAAATAGCATAACTTTTACATGTGTGTTTGTTTTGACGCTGAGAATTGTAATAATAGGGGAAAAAAAAGGTGTGCGAAAAGTTCAATATCCTGCAAAACTATTATTTAATAAACAAATCTGCTATAATTCTGTGGTATAAATGTTTCAAATAAATAACTTACATACAACGAGGCTTGATTGTGATATTTTATTTGCTTTAATCATATATCTTCATAAGTGCATACTGAATCTAGTTAGAAGGATAGCGTCACTGAAAGCTATAGAAATACAGGAAGAAAATTTTCTAAAAATATTATATTTTAAAGAAGAAATTAATGATACAAGTTTCTTACTTGACCATATTCATTTATATTTACAATAAACTACCACTCTTCTAGAATTTTATAAACATATTTTGAAAATGAAATTATTTAGTATAATAGCACTTAAAACGTGCTCAATGATTTCTTCCATAGTGCCATGTTTATTTGTTAGAGCTATATTATGTTTTGAATATTACAGAAAAGCAATGGTACTTCTGAACTTTGTTCCTCTTATAAAACGAAATGTTGAGAGTTGTCTTGTGAATTTTGAACAAAGATGATTAGAATTATTACTTAAGCACCCTATATGGACTTTTAGGCATTTTTTATTGCACTATTAAGTTAAAATCAGTCAGTTAAAATTTTTTGTTAGATTGAAAATTTTATTTTCATCAAATCTAATTAAAGAAACACCACAGTATATAAGAAAACACAAGAGAAGAAATATATCGCTTTAGAGTTAATGAGATTATTCCAAAAGGTATTTAAGTTAATCAACTTTGTAGTTTTTTTATGGATTTCTTAAAGTATATAAAAATGCTTACTTATATAAGACCCCCCCAAGTGACACAGCGGTATGTCTGCGGACTTACAACGCTAGAAACCGGGTTTCGATACTCGTTGTGGGCAGAGCACAGATAGCCCATTGTGTAGCTTTGTGCATAATTACAAACAAACTTTTGTAGACCAACAATTTCCAATACAAGCCCTGTTTACGCTATGCTTACATTGTTACAATTAAGCATGTTTTCTTCAAAAGGAATGTAATAATATCACGAATGTTTTAAGGAAAAGTATAACTCTTTAAAATGGGTCATAAATAATGTTACAAAATAACTTTAATCATTAGATAAAGACTTTCCAAAATTCTTAAAGAGTACTATGTTCTACTTGAAAGCAAGTAGTGTGGGAAAGGAATACGTTTTGTAAATTTATTCAAAAACTTCCTAATATTTACAGTTGATCAGTATCTTAAAACCAAAGTGTAGGTTTCAAAATATTTCAAGATTTAAAAAATAACACCGTCATTTAATGTAAAAACATAATATGTTTTAAAGCAAGAAAATCTTTTTAGCATACTAAATACACCTTTGTAACACTCTTTAAAATGTTTAAATGGTGTTAGTAACCGAGAAAATGCACCTTTTCTTCAATATATCTTATTTTATTCCTTTAATATGCATAATTAACATCATTTTAACATCAATGCACAACTGAATACTTCATACTATATGTATGTCAACTTCAATATCATAGAATATTCCTATTTTAACACTTCAGCTTTCCTTTACAACACACACTAACTAAACAAAAGAACGTACTGTGCATGCAAGTATTGCAGAAATTCACTTATTTATACACTATTATATTTCATTATACAATATATGGTGACATTCTTCAAACTGTCTATGAATGGTAAATGTTAAACTTGAAACAATTGATGTATGATAATTTGGTTAAAATGATGTTTTCCATTTTGCCTATCTTTGAAAATAACTCAAACATTAATTGAATATGATAAAAACATGTATGTTTGAAACGAAATAAAAAACATTATTAAAGAAAATTAGACAATGTTCTTCATTAACAATCACGGACTTTATTAAAATCCACAACACACAAAAAGCGTCGCCTGTTCAAACGATTTACAAATATAATGCTACTGTTTAGAGCTGGTCAATATATACTTCTACTTTTTATTATTGCGTCACATCGTACCTCAGTTTTTAAATCACTGCGAAAATACATTTAAACATCAGAGGAACAAAGTTACTATATAACATTATGTACAATCCAAGATATAATGCAGTTAATCTAATATATGTCTAACGAACTTTTACGAATCCACTTAAACTTTTGCTTTTCGTTTTAATAAAAGCAAGTACATTCTATTAGGACAATGTTTTTTTAAATATAGTTATAGTATCTAATTCTAATTTCACATTGCATTACAGCTAGGCCTAATTGTGAGATTAAAGTTATACCTAACGTGATGTGACAATATTATTCTTTATATTTGCTACTGATGTTAGACTTATTTAGTCCAAACGTTTCATTAACTAGATTTAGTTTTACATTTCTTTAATATATAATTTGATGTGTATTAATTATAATTATAAATATTAACCAATTTATAAGTGCATACGTTTATATGTACAGATTTTACCCAAGTTATCTATTTCTAAAAGTCATAAACGACTTTGGCTTACCAGTATCATCATTACAAAATAGTTCCTATAAGTTAGCTTAAGAAGCTTATGAAAGCATAAAGGTTGGGATACTTATTTTATTAGCCTTGTAATTCTCGAAACGAAACAAAGTTAGGAGATTTGAAGTTCATTATTGAATCAGTCTTAACTCAAATGTCTAACATTTGGTTATTAAACTACTCTAATTTAAATCAGTACCCGAACAGAGGGGGGCAACGTCCTCCTTATTGAAACTAGTATCATTTTCGTTGCCGTTATTAACAGATTCACATAGATGGGGGGAGGGGGACGTTTCAAGGATGAGTCTTCCCTAATGCGCTTTGTCTTAACGAAGAAACCCAGCTGTGTTGAACCGTCCCATGTCAAATACTTTCTTCATATCCACTGTTAAAAGTATCCTTTACTTTTAGTAATTATTTCCTACAAAATGATTGTTAACTTTTAATTAAGCTTTGTCTTTTAAGGTATAAGTTATAACGTTATGCCTAAATGCCCCATTGCGATATGCAGATAAATAACCGTTTCATAATATGGTCTAATAATTAAAACAGAAGTTTGTGGTTACTTAAGAAAGGGATAGTTTTCTGGCCCTAATAATAATAAGAATCATTAATAATGAAATGCTTTTATATCCTATTAATTAATTTGGCATATCACATAGTAACACTACAAAAATAAACCCTACTCCAATTCTCACACATATGTTTCAGCTTGAACTACTATTTGCAATTATATGATTTTTTTTAGACTTACATACTGTTTTATATTAGTATGATAGTGCTACAGAACTGTAGTGACTACAGTAATTCAATAAATGACGTTCGAAAATTTGTCCATTCATTTGAAACTCCTAATGAAAATGAAGAGGTCGTTTTTTTGAAATGTGTTACTGACTCCTGATAATGCCGAGTAAAGAATCGTTTAGTGTTTGTATTTTTGTGTAATGTTAAGATGTAAGATTCACTAGAAACATTTTGTCTAGTTTACTTGAACATCATATTTCTCGACCCATTATTTGAAGCATTCTCTATATTCCCTATACTTTATATTTAAAGAACATAAAATAATACACAGTTTATTTCTCGTCTCATGAATATAACTTTCGATCGGTGCTCCCTTCTTCAACAGGAATAGATAGAGTAAATGGGGCAAAATTGTGTGGTCATTTTATCTCCCGATAACTCTGTCTAACGATTCTTTATCGTAACGTACTTTTGTCTTTCATCCTGATGAAGAAGAGATTGCCTTCAAAAGTGCTCCAATCTGTTGGGACATTTATAGATTGCAGTAATTCCTTTTTTATTTGTCGAAAGTACTATTCTTCTTAGAACAACACCTTAAATTTATATGTGTTTAAGAGGAACCTGTACTAAAGAATATGTAAAAGATTCAATATAGATCTAAGTTACAAAATTTACTAAATATTTCTATGTATTTTCTTCTTACCAAAAAAGCCATTCTACAACTAAACAAATGGCGGATAAAAATGAGCCAAATCCAAGGATGTAGAAAGCACCCTGTAAGTCTGTTAAGTTGAGAGGTCTTTCGTTATCTGAAAATGGCGTCGTAGTATTCTTGTCAATCTTGTAGAAGTGGTAAAAAGTAATGTCATTCATCCACTTCTGGACAAGCCCAGCTTTGACAGCCCGTCGGATGCTAAACACACATACACACACAAAGTTAGTTAAACTGAAGTTCTACAGTTCTTAACAAATTCGGAAATTAAAATCCATTAAGTGTTCTATATTAATTCACTTTCGTTGAGAAAAATCAACAGGATACAGAGATCGAGAAAAAAGTTCGACGACAAAGTACACCTAAAACGTGAAAGATACTAATTAAATGTAAATTCTGTCAAAAATATTATTGTGTATTAAAACTCTCTTCATTTTGGATGTTGAGCTTCAGCGAGTTTTGTTAATGCTTATACTCGAGAGTTAATTACATATTAAAAATCGGGTTTCGATACCCGCAATATGTGTAGATTTGCGGGTAAACACAAACTAACAAAATCTGGATTTAAATATGTAATTATGATGAATTCAGTGATTACGTCATAACATATTATAATTGTTTCGAAGTTACCATAGAAAGAAACATATCTGTTGTTTACATATATAAATAGGATCGTATAAACCTTTATATTTGAACGATTCATAAACAATGGGAAGCTGAAAGGAACAGGTTGTCTGATAATCAGTCTTCCATCTTTCCTGTATTAATCGTTTCTTAGGACAAGTACATTGTTTTGGAATTTCAGAATTTTTACCTCGAACAAATGAATGGTATGTTAGAAAAATGTATATTTTTGGGCGTTTATCTCAACTTAAAATTTTGATTTTAAGACACAAGTTACCTATAAATTTCTGAGGAGAGAGGAAAACATGGTCGATTGTTCTAATAAAAGTAACTTCATTGACTTGTATTAAAATGCAAACGATGATAATTATAAAATGTATTTAGAGTAACGCAGTACTTACAATGAATTAAATAGTTCCTGGTATAAAAAGTTTTTCTGGAAAGCCAAGGCCATGAAATCCATTCTTATATAATCGGCAGACATGACGTAATACTTTTTGTGATTGGCTGGCATTTCAAACAACATATTTAATTCGTTGTAGAAGAACCCATAATTTTGATGTTTTACTTCTTGCACTCCTTCGCTCACGTTGCTAACGATGAGTCTTTGTTTCGTATTGTCAGCAAGCTTTTTCAACAGCTCACTATGTGTTTTCTGTGACCCAGAAAAAATATTTTACCATAAAATATAATTATTCATATGAATAAATTTCTACCTCCAATTATTACAAACTCACGAGACTCCATTTTGCTAACCATCAACAAAGAAAACTAGTATTTAATTTTTTTTAGTTTCAGTAAATACTTTGTCACTTGCAAAGCTATGAATTAATCATGTGCAATATTACATCATTCATGATTAGATGGTAACCAAGGGTCATGTTGGTACCGGTTGGTAAGCATCCTGACAGAAGTAAGCTAAATTTCTATTATACTAGCAGATGTACCCATACGATGCACGTTTATGATTTTTTTTTCCCGAAATATGTCAGTGGCAATATAAAGACTGTAAGTATGGAAAATACAATTATTGATTTTGACCGGGCTTGGTTATTTTATTGTATTTTCTTTTTCAGTATTTTTAAATCATAAAGCAATAAATAACTTTCGACTTCAAAACATTTCACTTAATATAAGGGTGTCTATCTTGAGAGTATCTATAAACAATGTGTGAAGAAGAAATCTTTCAAATGGTTGATGGGATTTGAAAACGAAATGCAATTGTAGAATTAATGTTTGACCAGCTATGAGTATAAGTAATGTTTCTCACTGGAGCTATGAAATCTATGCATTTTAAAATAAAAATAACTTCTTCTTGACACATCCCGAATTATTCCTAGTTTATTAAGCTATATATAATAGGTCTGTATGCAGTAACCTAGGAGGAGTTAGAGAACACAAAAGCAAACAAAGTTTTCTCAAATTATAGGAGGATTTCAAGCGTACACGGTTATGTTTTGTATCATATTAGCTTATTCTTCAATAAAAGTTATAATAAGGGTATTGCCCTTAAATTGTTTTTCAGTATTTATTAATTTTAAGTGTTTTAGGACTATTTGGTTTCTGTAAAGGAACATGAGCTAATTATTTATCAAGTAAGAATATTTATTTAAATGTTCGTTTCGTTTCAGTTCAAAACAACATTGTTTTGCATAAACAATATATTTAACATTTTTAAATATAAAGTACGCCTTTTCGTTTTCAACATTGTTACGTCAATACTTATTCACGTGTAATTTGCTAATTGCAATAATTAGTTTTGATGAGCATCATTTTCTTAAACGCACATCTGTAGAAAACTAGGGGAATCAGAAACATCGATAGAGGATTTTTCGGGGTGGTGTTTGTTTTTAAATCCTTTGTTGCACATTTGTCTTCCCCAATATGCCTCCTAACAAAAACATGCACTATGCTATCCTAATAAGTGAATAAACTTACTAATTCTGTTCCAGAATTTGCTTTCATTCACCAAAACAACTTAAATGCTAAAATAAGAAAGTATAATGTAAGAATGGAAATATTTAAAAATAAATAAAATGATTTAGTAAATTAACTCAAATAATTAACGTGAAATAATACTTAATTCTGAAGTTTTGTGATGGATACTTTATCTTACTTCAAATTCCGTCATACAGGACGATCCCTTAACAGTGCCCCATGTGTAATATCCTTTTTCCACGGCGTCAACTAACATAAAGATATCATCTAACGACTTCTTATATCCTGGATACATCATGAAGGACGTTAAGGTTCCGCTGTAACAACCAAGAATCACTATAACAGCCAACCACCAAACTCCAACGAGAACTCTTACTGCCAGGGCTTCTGGGATTGTCATGTGTCCGCCTGTGAAATGATAATTAACAACTAATTTACAGCAAAGTATTTTAACTGTTACAGTTAAAGCAAAGCAGACAGCTTCGGAATGTTAAATAACCATGATATTCCAAAAGAAACGCTTCATGGGTTGTAGCATGTCTATTATAAAATATATTGGCTGTTATGAAATGTTAATTAACCCACAAACTTAAACAATGAATCAGGGATTGCCACATCTCCGTTTGAAAGGAAGACCGATCTATGTAAAAACTTGTCTTATCGCCGAACTCCAATGAGTATACTAACCAAAGACTGATTTGTTGCATGTTCTATTGAGTAAAATTTGCCAGCTCATAAGTAACAATGAATAAATGAGTTTCATTCCAGACTTGTACCTCAAGAAAACAATACATTACCATATATCAATCTGAATCTGTGACTAATTGCTATAAAGTAATAATTAATCACGAAACTTTCAGGAAGTCGCGAACCGATAGAGAATGGTGATTATTATATATCCAACTAAGGTCACAAATGGACCCGTGAACCCGAGGTTTCATGAGCCGTTTCTTATCTACTTGAGGGAAATGTATATTGTTGTAAACTGACAAATATATTAGGCCTTTAAACACCGGGAATAGTGGGATCGCTATATGCATTGCAGAAGGTAATGTTGATTGTAAAAACAAATAATACAAATAAACAATTCACTTCAATAAGAAGTCTCATACGGACAAAGATTTGGTGATTTTTTAAGAAAATAACTGAATGAAATCAATTTTAACTGTACTTATCATCTTCGCTTAATACTTATATCGCCAGGTATTCTATAACTGATCATGTTAACCTGAATTAACTATTAATAGTTATAAACTGAAAACTAGTTTCACTGGAGATTGTGAGAATTAATTGATATAAATCAAAAAAATAATAATCGAACTCAATCCAAGACTTGTATCGCCAGATTCCGAAACTCGTCAACTTCATCTTCATTTTATACGCTAAAGATTATGTGTATCTGATTTTGATCAAATATTGCTTTAAAACGTAGTAATGTGTTCCTCGTAGTTCCTTTTGTTTTTGACATATTTTTCTTTTGATATTAATTGATGAAAGGTAGAAATGACTGTTTTTTTTCTTGCGATTCCTTCGGTTTTTTTTAATGTTCTAGTTACTATATGCACTTTAAACTTATGGAAAAGCTCCTAAGCTCTCTGCCACTATTTCTAATTTTGAGGGAAAGTAGCCATTTTGTTTGCTTGAGAGCAAAGCCACATTAGACTATTTGCTGTGTCAACCGCAAAACATTGAACCTAGGTAGTTGTGTTGTAAGTCCTTAAACTTACCGCTGTTCCATCGGGGGATAGGGAAAGTAGGCAATCAACAGCACCCTACCTGCTAAGGAATTGAATGTCGCTCTTATAGCGCGCCCACAATTTAAAGTGTAAGGAACATTTTGTGGTTTTACATGGATTCGAACCCGGCTAGTCAGCTCTCTCAAGAGGCCATCTCTAGTTAGAGCATGAAGAATAATAAAAATGGTTCTTTTATTTCTCATTATTTCATCTGTTCAAATATATTCGTTTAGGTTTTAAGTATTTTTAGGGTAGCAAATAAAACACCACAATCAGGTTGATAAAAGTTTCTAGCACGTAATTATAGACTAGTTCCTTTAATGTTCTAGCTTTTCAGCTTTATCAGAGTTTACTGGGACATTTAGGTTTACAGCATTGAAAGTCGTACGTTGAAACGCTATTTATTTTCATTGAGAGCCATGAAGATGAAAGCTGTACAAATTGGCGAAGTGAATTCTCCAGCGTTGACATTAAAAACCAAATAGTTATTTCTATTTTTTATATCAGCAAGTTACATATGATTTAACTGTTTCCCCTTTTCGAATAACTCCTAAGTTTAATGACAAATGTGTAGTATTTACCGTGATTACAAATTCCACATGCTTAAAAACTTATTAAATCTTTCACATCTGTGATGCAACTCTTTTCGAAGCAACTGTGACATTTGAAGAGTTATATCGCTGGGTTCACTAGAATTTCCTAACCTATGATTTGAATCAACAGCAAGTTTTAATTTGTACATATGATAATTTTAGAAGGATAAAGCGAATGGTAATGAGAATCATGATGTATATAATTTGCTTCTTTTTTAAACTATCGATGAATAACTATTTTAGTTGTCTTTATCTTGCATTTGTTCGTTTTCCCCCGAAGGTAAGTCAGTCTACTATAGTTTAGCAACATGAATAATATGATTATAGTATTTTGGCACTTGTGTAT